AAAAAAAAATATTAATAAATGAATTTAAATCTATCAAATGTTCGGAATCTTTTTAAATTGAAAATATCTTTTGGATATTTAAATATATATTATGAAATTTATTGGATATGTATACGCATATCTACCGATTTGTAAATTATTTTTTCAAACTTTTTTATTTTTTATTATTTTTAAACTTTTTATTTTTGTCAAACTTAAAAATTATTTTTAAAACTTTTTAATTTTTTCAAACTTTTTAACTTGTTTTTTTAAACTTTTTTTAATTTCACTCTTTTATATATTATTTGAAGTTGTAAAATTTTATTTTATTTTTTCTATTTTCACAAAGAGGCTTGATGATAAGACTTTTTGTCTTCTACTTGCCCCAGTCAGCTTGTAAATGTATAAATTTATTTGAATGTAAGGTTAACATTGTAAATTGTGTCAAATGACGAAATAAATAGGAATAGTAACAATGTGTCGCTAGCTACATATCGTAGCTTTGTAGCTAGCTACAAAATATCTACAAATCTATAGCTGTATGATAGCTACATATTAAAATTTTTTAGGCAGCGATTTTATTATAATATGACGCTAGCTACAATAACTAGTGAGTCTTTAGCTTATTAAGTTAACATTCCTTGGAACAAAATCGTTGTCTTTATCTTTACAAATATCAAAAACTTTTCGCTAACTTAAAAGCTAGCGATCCTCGTGGCCAAAACACTGTCTTTATCTTTATGGTTATTTCAAAACATTCTAGGGGGGGGGGGGCATTTGCCCTATTGCCACCCCTAAGGATTCGCCCTTGATTCTAACCTACTTCTACAGTTACAAAAGTATTGCAATTTGTTGCTGTTAAATCTTGAAATAAATAGAAATTTTCGCTAGGCGAAAGAATGGAATAAGACATTAGTATTTATTAATGTGTACAAAGATTTTTCTAATAAAAAAAACTTGTAAAAAATGGAACAATTAAATATAAAAGATTTTAATTGGAAAACTACTTTACCAAACAACTTTTTTAGTTTCGTGTTGTATATATTATAAAAAGTTAATATTCTATAATTGAAGGCGAGGAAAAGTAAAAAACTTATCTTCAATTTTTGTCATAACTTTATTAGGTTTTTTTTTTTAATCTGTTACTAATCATACTTCTTTTACATATAATTTATATATGTTGGAGTCGATTTCCTGATTAATCCCTTTTTTTTTTTCCTCTTAAAGTTATCTTTTGTCCCATTTATGATTAGTTATTTATTCGAATTTCTATTGTTCCAAAGTAAATACTCTTGAAGAAAAAAGATTTCATTTAAGTAACACGATGTAAAACCTAGTGGTCTCTATGACCACCAGTGCAACAACAATTAAAAAAAACATAAGATTTTACGTGATCTCGTCGCATTTGGGGTTTTGATTTCGTTAAGTACAAATTTAGAACACGTTGTAAAAACACATGGTTTGGCTATTTTAGCGGGCACTTAACAGCATGGATTTACAGCCCATGTTATTCGTCGAATTTAATCTTATATATACTTTGATATATCTTTGATAAATCAATGCACATTGGGCCAGAAATCACTTTTACTGAACAAAACTAATAACTCATCATGTAAAAAAGATTTAAAAACCATTTTTGCTCTGTTAACTAATTTGAGGATTGTGGTTTTAATAGTGACATTATTTTTAACTTTGGGTTGCTATAGATACCTAAATTGCTTAGCAACCACATATTTTATTACCTTAACAAATAAAAAGTTGAGAAGTAATAACTTTATCGGATTTCTCCCATGATTACCACATTGAGTGTTTTTATACTACAAATGTAGTGTTACTAAGGATTTTTTATTTGGTTTAAAGGGACACCTAAAATGCCTGACGCTTCATTTTGCATAGTTACTAGCTTAAGTAACTTTTCTCCAAGCATCAATTTTATAACTAGAATAATATTAATGTGGCAGTCTGATTAAAAACTATTTTATGCATTTAAAAATTCAACACATTTTAATTTCTAATTTTAAGTGTTTTTAGTAGTAGTTGAATAAAATGCAAATAATGTTTTCGCCACATAAAATCGGATACATCATTTACGCGGTAGGAGATAAGCTAGCAACTAGCTTGTCGCTACTTATTGACGCGTAAAAGACGCATATAAAATACGTAGGTAATACGTGTTTTAGACGTTTTAAAATTGTTTGAGTCAACTAGCTATCTTTATTTCACCGGTTAACTTGCAAAAATCATTAATTGAGACCAGGTGGACATCCACGGAATATACAAATTTATATTGATAATATACATATGTATTTCAATACAATGTATTTCAAATTTAAAATTACTGGACCGCAAATGTATTCGACTATGTAAGTGAAATGTTAACTAAAAAAGTACTTCAAATACCCCATCATTTGAAACCATTTTATTTAACATAATTTACATGCAAAACAGTGTTGTGTAGCTCATTTGAAAGATAATACTTGATTTTATTAAATCAAAGTTAACATCTATTCCATGCTTATTAGTAACAAAAAATACTATTAAATTAAAAATTTAAAAATAATTAAAAAAAAAAAGCTTTTTATTCTACTGCTTAGAAGCATACGTCATGATAACTTTACAAAAATATATACATTTTAGAAAAGTTCAACGTTTAAGTTATGGTATGGTATATAATAATATAATTTTTGATAGTATTTTTTTTTACTTTAGTCCACCACCGGCCCACTGTGCAATATCGTCGGGGATAGTGTAAATCCGCGTAACTAGCATTGGGTACTATATTTGGATATTATTAATTTTAACACAAAATATTTATTGTTAAGATTACAAAAAACATGAATAATACTCTATACTAAAATGAACCCAAAATCAGTTAAAATAAAAAATACGTAAAGTTTTAAACTTCTCTCGTAAAAAAAATGTACTGTAGTAACGCGCTACTATCCAATGCTAGTTACACGGTTTCGCACTATAGTGCGAAATTGCATACGCTCAAGAATTTGAAACAATCGGGGGTAGTACTATTCCCGACGATATGGAGATATATCTAATCTCATTTGCTTTGCTACTTTTATTTTGCTTATCTTATCTCCAAATACGTCCAAATTTACATATTACGCCATGCAGCATTTTCTACTGTAATCGGTTTTATTTCTTAAGTTTTTTTTTGTTTTGTTTTGTAAGAAATGTAAAACGTGAATGTAAAAAATAAACATCGCTTATCAGTGAAAAATTCAAACTGTAAATATAATGAAGATAATATGAGAATAAATAGGGTTTCGGGTGAGCTATTTCAATATCCAAAATAGTATGAAAAGTATTGTAAACAATGTGAATTAAGAAGTTACGCCAACTACACCATTGTTCGTGTTATAGTTAATAACAAAAGTAAAAAAGAGGACACAATATAAAGTCTATAACCTATAACAAGGTAACTTCTTTTTTACCTTTGTCATTGATTATAATATAGTACAATGGTAGCCAATCTGGTGGATTTTTTTGTCAATACAGTTATAAATGATTAACATAAAATATGTATAGAGCTTAGAAAGACTTAAAAAATGAGGGGTCTTTCAACTTTATAAGTTATTTGGATCCAAAGTTATTGCATATTTTATGCTGAACAAAATTCCTAAGTACCATTTCTTTAGGAAAACAAAAAAAATTACTTGATTTGAATAGAAAAAAAGCTAAACTTGCTTTTTTTATAGGGAACCTCTTTAAAAAGAGTTTTTTTTTTTAATAAACTGGTCTTAAAGTTTTTAAACGCTGAGAACTTAGAAATTATAAATAAATGTTATAAAACTTCTCCATTCCATTGGATTCTTTAATTTCAAAACAAATTTGAAAAATCTATAATTTCATACAAATTTGATCTGTTTTGGCACTTAGGAAATCTTACCTTCAAAAACTGCTTTTTAAAAATTGCGTCAACAGCAATTTTTTTTTTATCAATAATGGTCTTAACACATGAATAAAATATAAAAGAAACCCTATTAAAAAGTGCTTTCTGTATATATATATATATATATATATATATATATATATATATATATATATATATATATATATATATATATATATATATATATATATATATATATATATATATATATATATATTTATATTTATATATATATATATATATGTATATATATATAAATATATATATATATATATATATATATATATATATATTATATATATATATATATTTATATATATTTATATATATATATATATATATATATATATATATATATATATATATTTATATATATATATATATATATATATATATATATATATATATATATATATATATATAAATATATATATATATATATATATATATATATATATATATATATATAATATATATATATATATATATATAAATATATATATATATATATATATATATATATATATAAATATATATATATATATATATATATATATATATATATATATTTATATATATATATATATATATATATATATATATTTATATATATATATATATATATATATATATATATATATATATATATATATATATATATATATATATATATATATATATATATATATATAGAGAGAGAGAGAGAGAGAGAGAGAGAGAAAGCACTGTTTAATATGGTTTCTTTTATATTTTATATTAATTTATAAATGTTATAAAACTTTTATAAATTTATATATATATATATATATATATATATAAGTTTATAAAATAAATTTTATTTATTAAATATATATATAAATATATATATTTAATAAATAAAAACTCTATAACTATTAGTTGGATGTATTTAAATATTGTTTTTAGCTAGGCAGTGCTTTTAATGCGTATTAATGGTAATGATGACTTTGTCCATTGTTATTTTTTAAATATTTTTTAAGAACTTTAACTTTTAATGAAATAATCACCAAATAATCTTTATGAATTTAATAACAAGTTTACGTTATTTATTTAAGTTTATTTCAAATTGTTATCTAATATTTTTTCTACATGACAGTATAAAATCAATTAAATAAAATGCAAATATTGACAGAGGAAGAAGCTGCAGTTTATGATCGACAAATACGATTGTGGGGAGTTGAAGCTCAACAGAGGTAACTAAATTGTTTCAGTTTTAAAATTTATCTTTTAACTTTGGTTCCTATGAATTAGTAGTGGTAAGGTAGCAATCTATAGCTGGCGTGTAGCAAATGGCACATTGTTGCAACACAATAAAAGTGGATGAGTGTATAGAAAAGTTTGAAAAAAAACAAAAAATTTGTATAATATGAAAATATAAATTTTCTAAAATATAATCAATTCAATAAAATCCAAGAACAATAAAAATTTTGATATATTTAAGATGACATCAATAGCTGGCAAGTAAAGATTGTTTAAAATTGTGAATTTCTAAATTGTATAAACATTAGCATTTTTTTCTGTTTGTGGAGTCAACCTGTTTCTTAATGAAGAATTTGTCCTTAACAACTAAATATTCATTCACTTTTAACAGAAGATACTTCTGAGATATTGAAACTAGTTGTTTAAAGTTTCTTTTATTTTCTTCCCACCATGCAAAAAGGCCATCTTGTTGCATGATTATTTTCTGTCCTTTAATACATTAAAACTTCATTTTTTATTTTTAAATAATGTTTGCTTTCTGTTTATTGTATAGCTTTAGACATAGACATGTTTTCAATTAAAAATGTAATTGTAATTTTAATAAAACTTTGACAAATCAAAATTTTGTTTTTTTGTACTTGTTGAAAGTTGAGCTTAGGTTTTCAGTTTGATCTTTTTGTTGAAGGCCTTTGAATAATCTACAGTTGTTCAGTTTTTAAGATAACTATCAGCTTTTTGGAAAACATTCTTTATATATTGGATGTATTTAACTTTAATTGGATTTTTATAAGTCATTGAGTAATTTTAAAATCTTTCATTTGCTGATTTTGTTATAGTCATAACTTTTCCCCTAATCCCATAGTTTAAATAAGCATAATTTTTATAATTTGTATAGTAGGAAATATAAAAGGTTTGATTGCTTCTTGTTTAATAAATAAATTTATGTTATTAAACATTTTTAAAAATAGTCATTTTTGAATCTATTTATTGTTTAAATAATTAATTATCAGTTGTAAATGAAATAAATGAAGATTTTTAGTTAAAATTTTTTGTCTGACTTTTATATTTTTTATAATTTTATAATAAAATTTTATAATAATCTAAACAGACTTCATATAAAAATAAAGAAAGCAATATTTAAAAATCAATATTTAAATACTCTAATTGTACGCAAAATAATGGAGTGACGCATGATTTTCATAATGAGATTAGTATAGAGTTAGATTTATTTGACATATAAAAAAAGCCATACATATAAATATATTTTACACTGGAGAGTGCAGTGCTAAACTAATTTTAACTAGTTTAGCATTATGCTCTCCTAGGTAAAAACCGGGACAATGAACACCATATATTTATATCAGGCTTGGGCAAGAATGACGTGTGATCGAGCGCTATTGCTGACCACACCAATGATTTTGTTTTTTGACAACTTGACCACGGTTGTTTATATGTTTAAAAAAAAAATACATGCCTGCATAAAAAAAAAATTATATGTAACATTTTTTATTAATTTACACATGTGTGTATGTAAACCAGTGGTTCCCAACCGGTGGTCCATGGACCCCTGGGGGTCCATATGAACTTTTTAATTGGACCACAAAACTAAAAAATCTTGAATCTAAAGAATCACCATATTTTTCTATTCAGTTGGATGAGTCCACAGATGTAAGTTCACTGGCACAATTAATTGTATTTTGTAGGTATATTCGCAATAATAAGCTCAAGGAAGAATTTTTTCTTGTGATGTGAAAAATATGAAAGAGGAAGCACAAGAAGATTTAAATTTAGAGTTAAAGGATCATACCACGGCTAAGGATCACTTCTAAATAACACCATTAGATAACTTCTGGTTGATGAGGAATTCATACCCATTGTGTTCATCAATTGCACTTAATGCCCTTATTCTCTTTTCAACATCACATTTGTGTGAAGCCGAGTTAAACTCTTAAAACTAAAAAAAAAAAAACTCGATATCAATGCAAAAATTAGATGTACTCTATCAAAAACTAAATCTAATTTTCAGATATTAATTGCTGGTAAGGAGTGCCAGATTTCTCACTGACCTGCTTTTGTATCATATATTAACTAAGATAAAATACTTTTGTGTCACTGATAGACTGGCATATTTTTGAATAGACTGTCACTAGATAGTCTAATCAAAAATACCTTAAACAAAATATTATCCTGATGAATAAAAATTACATTATTAAAATTTTCACATTGTAATAATTGTTAATAGCAACAGGGTCCATGATGATTTTATGATATATAATTTAGAGAACGAGTAAGAAAAGGTTGGGAACTACTGATGTAAACAAGCATAACTATTTTTTATGGTTTTATTTAAAGTCTTCGCGAAAAATAAAAACTTTAGAAAAGATCAACAATTAAAAGTTATTCATAACGTGACACTTTTCATAACTCACTAACATAACAGACCAAATTTTGTGAAGGGCGACTGAAAATATTCCTTTGGTGCAATTAGTTTGCCTGAAAGGGTGACTATTCATTTTATCTGCAGTTCTAGTTTTTTTTTTTTGAATTTAAGAATTCTATTAAAAAGAAAAGTAACTATCTAAAATAATAATAAAAGTATTTTAAACTTACAGTGTTTATTTTCAGTATTTTCTATTATCAATTAGAACATAAGAAAATCATACTAGCGTTTAAACATATTTAATAAAATTCTTCCTAAATAATAACTTAAAAGTATTATTTTTTAAACAAAAATACTATTTTATTTTTATTTTTTTACAAATTTTATTTAAGAATTTAGAGATAAAGTAATGTAGCTAAATTTGCTGAAAAGAAAATTCTTTAACAGACCTTGTTAAAAAGCATTACGCAGCTTGCTTTTTTCTAAACGTCAAAAGTGTTCAGTTAAGTGAAACCTTTTTTGTAAAATATAAACATCAAAAGCATTCAGTTAGGCAAATTTTTTTTTTTTTTCAATAACTAAATTATCTTTTAACATAGTTAAATGAAGTTTATTTAGAAAAAGTTAGGTTGTAAAAAAAAAGCATTTAACTGCAACTGATAATTTTTTAAAGAAACAAATTATTTTGTAAAAAAATTTTTAGTTTCAAAAGACTTAAAATTAAATATGATTTTAAAAATTTAAATTTTGTTTTGAAGGAATGTAAAATAGTAAATTGTTGAATGTAAAATTTAGTTTCAAATAAATATATATAATCGTTTTGCAATTTTTATAAAGTTTTTTTCTAATCGTCTGCTCCATCATAGATTATCATAGATTATTATATGCCAAAGGAAATAAAAACCTCTTATAAAAAGAGAGAAGTGCTTCTGTTTAAGTGAATTCTTTTCGCAAATGTATTTTTTATTTCTTATTAATTCAATATTCAATTCAAAGAACATAAATTACATTTACAAATATCTTATAATCTTTATAAAATACAACATTAAATATTTAAAAATTAAAATAAATAAGTTATGATAAACATTCTAAAGATTAGGTTAAGTATAAGATTGTTTTAAGATCCTCAATGGACAGCAATCTATTTCATATCCTGTAACATCAGGGGTTCCTAAAAGTTTTATCCTCAGCTCTATACTCTTTTTAATAGACATTAATGATTTTACAGATATTCTTACATCTAAGGTGGCATTGTTGATAATATTATTTAGTCTTGTCTTGATAAGAAGCCAACACTCTCTGATTGTTTGGAGGAGGCATTTTAGCTTGAAATAGAACTTACTTCTGCTACAGCATGGGGCTCACAGTGGCTGGTGAACTTTAACTAAGATAAAACTAAATTTTTTTTTTAGCTAATTGTTATCTCAATAACCTAAATCTTTCTATATTTATGAGTGGTAATGTACTCGATGAGTCATCTACTCTTTATCTATTCTTTATCTCTATAAATCTCAAATCTGTCATTATATGGAATACTGTTACCATATCTAGAGCGGATCTTCCAATGATGTTCTTTCTCTTTTAGATAAGATACAAAAATGGATTGTAAACATAGTTGGATCTGCTCTTGCACCAACCTCCAATCGTTATCACATTGTCGTAATGCTGCTTCTATTTCTCTTTTCTATGAACTATAATGGGTACTGCTCTAAAGAGCTAGTGTCTCTTGTGCCATCTACTAAAATTCATTCTCGTGTTACTTATCATTCAATTAAGTCTTGTTCTTTTACTGTGACTGTTCCAAGTGCTCCAAAAATTCTTCTTTCTCTAGTTTTTTTTCTCGAATATCAGTTCTTTGTTATTCGCTTCCATCTTGCTTTCCTGATTCATATAATTTGCAATCTTTTAAGTCATCTGTTGTAAGTTTGCTTTATTTCTTGTTATATATATTTTTTTGCTTATTATTGCTTATTATTATTTTAATATTGAATTATATTATTATTATTATATTAAAAAAATATTTTGTTTATGTATTTATTTATAATGTATTTTTATTATATTTGTTTATAGTTTTGTTTGTTTATTTTATATTATTTTGAAATTATGTAATGATTGAATTATAATTCATTAATAATCAAATTATAATATCATTTCATAACTTTTGTGTGAACTTATGTTATTGCTTTTGCAAAACTTATGTGTTAAAATTAATATACTATGTAGTGTTATAACTAATTGTGTCAAAACAAATTAATTAATGTAATAATATATTAATAGTTTTCAACATATTAATATATTATTACATATCAATATATTATTACAATTAGAAACAGCAGCTGCAAAAGAAGGTGAAAAAGGCTTGAAGTCAACAAGAAGAAACAAAAGCATGTATATATATATATATATATATATATATATATATATATATATATATATATATATATATATATATATATATATATATATATATATATATATATATATATATATATACCCATATAGTGTAGTCGAAAGAGCGTTTTAATGTAAAAAAAAGTCTCTTGCGACTACATTAAATTTAATTGTTTTTTAAAAAATTTTTAAAAAACCGCAATTATAACGACTAGAAAGTTTTTTTTAATTAGTGGTGTTTTTGTTATTGATTTAATAAAAAACATTTTTAAAACATGCGTAAATGTTGCTACATCGACTATCTTATAGCCTGACTCGCAACGGAGTGCTGCTACATCGACTGACAAATAGCCTGACTCGCAACGGAGTGCTGCTACATCGACTGACAAATAGCCTGACTCGCAAGGGAATGCTGCTACATCGACTGACAAATAGCCTGACTCGCAAGGGAGTGCTGCTACAACGACTGACAAATAGCCTGACACGCAAGAGAGTGCTGCTACATCGACTGAGGGTTTGGTTTGGCCAGGCAGTCTATCAATTAAAAAAAAAATTTAATTTTTAAAACTTTTTCTGGTCTGGTTTATTAACGCGCTCTTTAAAACTACAGTTTATGGGAAACTTTTTTTGATGCCATGCAAGAGACATGCAAGAGTATATATATATATATATATATATATATATATATATATATATATATATATATATATATATATATTTCAACAATAAATTGATATTAGTTACACTATTTGCATAATGTTGGTTTTCAAAAATTTAAAATTACCTCTAGAGATAATTTAAATTTAATTAAATAAAAGTTAAGAAATTTAATTAAAATTTAAATTTAAGATTTAAGACTTAATTAAATACAAAAAATAATAATAATAATTGACTTGATAAATAAGTTTCTGTTAATCAATGATTGATATGATGTTTTGACAGTTCAGATGACAAGAAATAAATAAATTTGAAGAAGAGTTGTGATTAAGTGAAGAGAAAGATTATCAAAATGGAAAAAAACACTGAAATATTAAATAGATATTTTTATTCTAAACCTCTTCCACAAGATGGAGTTGTTAGAACTAAAGCTATTTGTAGCCACTGCAAAGCTGAATATTCTTATTATTGGAGTCTGAAGTGTTTATGTAGTCTGACAAAGAAGGCTTTGTTAGATTACATTAGATGCAGCATGTGGGAGAACTATAGATAAACAAAAGAAAAACAAGCTAACAAATTTTATTGTAAAATGGGTAGATACAAACTAAAGTCTGATTAGTATTGTGAAAAATGTCGTTCTGAAGAATGTTATTAGGATTGCAATGAATGTATGAGCCTCTGCAAAGATGCACCATTGCAAAAAAAAAAAAAAAAAATGAATTATTTAAAAAGGAGAGAAGTATAAAGGCAACAGAGTTAAATAAAACATTGATGTTTTAACGTTTTATTTATTTGTTAATTTTATATTTAATTTGATTACACACATTACAACTGCTAAAAAATAGGACTTTATTTGTTTAAAGGTTTGACAAACCAAATGTTACTGCACAAATGTTCATGCAGCAAAACTTTAAAAATTATAAAATAAAAAAGTTGAAACAATGAAAATGTTTTCATTGTTTTAAGTCAAATGTATATTTTTAATTATGTTTTTGTTTTTGTTTTGTAAAAGTTAATACTACTATATATATATATTTTTTTTAAGACTGCGAAATGCAAAAGTTTTGGTTGTTGGTTTGTCAAGTTTAGGTAATGAAGTTTGTAAAAACATATTACTTGCTGGAATTCATCACATGACAATGCTAGATGATACTATTCTATCAAAAGAAGATTTCAATTACCAGTTTATGACAAATGATGAAAAAATTGGTATTAATGTATGTATGATGAATTTTTTTTGGTACACTTTATATACACATACATCCCTCAGAATTAGGGTCGGCATTCATTAATGTTGACCTAATTGCCAAGCTGAAAGTGTTTACAGTTGGTAAATAATTGCAGACCTTATTTCCATGTTTTATGTTAAGACATTTGTATCAAAATTTTTTTATATATTTATAATAAAACATGGAAAAAGATATATATTTTTTTTATATTATAATATAATATACCTTTTTAATTATATAATTAAAAAAGGTAGTAATAAGGTACAAGTATAGTTTAAATGTTTTAATATCAGCGGATGTTTTAAAATCATTCTCTCATATAAAAACATTTGATTTGGAAAAATGAGATGTTATGAAGTAAATTTTTTTAGCGTTTATTTTAATCTATGTCTGCATAACTCATTGTTATGCAGACATAGATGGAAACATAGATAAACTTGAATGTTCTCAAAACAACTTGTTGCGTAAAGATAATATAAAGAATATTTGCTAACACTAAAATACCGCCAAATCTACGAATAAATAAATTCTATTGGTTCAAAAAATATGCTGAATAAGCGAATTAGAGTTCCAGAATATTCTGAAGAAACTTTCTTAAAAATGTATTGCTTGAGTAAATAAATCTTTAAGATTTCTATTGTAAATTGTTTTAAGAATATATTATCAAACAAAACTGATTAAATTAACATTTAAATTAATAAAAGAAATATATTATAATCTTTGATAATTTAACATTTGTCAAACAATAATCGTCATAATTACGATGTTACTTTCTATAAAAAAGTCAGTTTTTATTATTCGAAAATAGATATTTGATATTCGGACAAAATCTGGTTAACCGCAAAACCAGATAACCGGCGAAATCACTATTGTAAACATGTTATGTTTACAATACTAGTTATGACCACATAAGTTTTCTAAACCCCCCCCCCCCCCCCCACCAAAAAAAAAAAAAAAGAATGAGGGGGTTGTAAAACATGTATTTCACTATTGTTTACCTTTTCTGATATATTTAATTTATTTGATAGAGAAGTTCAAAGTTTTTATGATTTTGCTAAAAGATGTTTGCTAAAATAAAAGTTGTTAGTTTTAATTGTATTATTTAATATTATTATTAAAATAAGTAAGTAAACAAGTAACAAGTAAGGTCTTTTTCAATTAAGTCTGTGTCAATATTTAGAAATAACTGTAAGTATTGCTGAGTAATATCAAAATTGTAAAAAAACATCTCAGTCCATTGAATCTTATATGCAATATAAGATTCAATGGCATCAAGTTTTCGAGAGCGATATTCAGAGTTGGAAATTGGTTACCATGGGGCCAACCATAAATTATGTACACAAGTATGGGGAGGGGTTCACTCAAAAGTGTATAAAAGAAGGATTGACATTTTTTGTTTTCGTGGGAAGTCTGGGAAATCTACCAGAAAAAATATCTTACTGCAGCTTTGATATTATATAAAAACAATGAAATATCACCATTTACTAAAAGTTGACAACATTACTTTGTTTCCTATTGGAGTTGAATTAACATGGTTGACTGCGGACATTCTAAACAACAGAAATGTTTTTAATTTGATTTAGAATAAATAATAGTTAAAAATAAAAAAAAGAATAAAATAATTCTTTTATTTACAATTGATGTGTGAAAAATGAAAAACAATAAAGCAAAAAAATCTTACATTTTTACAAAATCTTGTGGAGTAAAACATTTGAAAAAACAATTTTTTGATTTAAATTTTCTATTCTCTTTAGGACGTTTGGAAATAGTAAATATTCCATTCTATTTGTCAGCTGTAAAAACAGCATTTAAACAGAATTCGCTATTTAATTATTATCAAGTGAAAAATTTTTTTATATACTTGATTATATACTTAATAAATATATAATATACTAATATAGTATATATTAGTGTTAGTGTACATATACTTATACAAATAAAATATATAAATAACTTATCTACTGACGTATATTTTGGGAAATGCGTTTGTGAAACTAGTGATATTACATTTTTTTCTTTGTTGTTTGTTAGTACGATTCCAAAACTTTCAATTCTAAGTTGTATAACAAACTTATTTGTTATACGTTTTGTTTATTGAATCTTTTTATTATAATTTTATTTATCATTTAACTTTAACTTTTTAAATAAATAGCTTAAATATAAGCTTAACAGATTCAAAGATAATTGTGAAAATATTTTAGTTTATTAACTTATATTTGACAAAAAATATTAGATATTTCGATGTTTTGATGCTTTGAATTTTAAATATAATAGTCATTATTTAATAGAATGTGATCGAACCTGTACGAAATCAAAGCATTCGTGAAGTTTTAGTTTGATAAATTTTTTTATGCTAGATATTTATAAATAATATTCAAGATATTTAATTTTTTAACATTTATGTTTGGAATTTTCATTGAAGTGTTGCAAGTTTTGATATTTTATTACATGAACTTTAATGCAATTTAAAGTGAAAGTTAAGCGAAGTTTTTTTGTCAAACTAAAAAACTATATGAGTTGGCAATTGGTTTGACTTGACCAGATTATGATTAATCGAATAAGTTCAACTAGAATTAAAAAAAAAAAACATGCTGAATTTAGCTTTCAATTATAAAAAATAAATCATTTTTAATTTGAACTTATGCCGCATAAATTATAATTAAAGTACGTCACACATAAATTATGTGTGACATTCTTAATTACGAATATAACTTCTTTAATATGCAAATCTATAAAATGCAAATCTACAATATAATCTACAATATGTAAACTCTACTGTTTAAACAAATTTTGACTTCATAAAAAAAGTTTTACTGAAAATATTCTCTAAAAAAATCAACTTAAAATTTTCTCTCTCGCAAGTTCTTCAGATGAGTGCAATTTTTTACTCTCGTAACCAAACTAGCAAGTGCTATTTGTTGCGCCTGGAAAGGCATTTATGAATATATATATATATATACATATATATACTTATATATATATATATATATATATGTGTGTATATATATATATATATATATATATATATATATATATATATATATATATATATATATATATATATATATATGTATATATATATATATATATATATATGTATATATATATATATATATATATATGTATATATATACATATATATGTAAATATATACATACATATATATATATGTATATATATATATATACATATGTATATATATATACATATACATACATATGTATATATATATATACATATGTATATATATATATATATGTATATATATATATATGTATATATATATATATATATATATACATATGATAATATATATATATATATATATATATATATATATATATATATATATATATATATATATATATATATATATATATCCATATAGTGTTGTCGAAAGAGCGTTTTAATGTAAAAAAAGTCTCTTACGACTACAATTTTAATTACCTCGTCTCTTAAGCTGTATTTGATTGTCGTCGAAATGTGAAAGCAATTAAATTAATGCGGAAGTACATTAAATTTTATTGTTTTTTAAAAAATTTTTAAAAAACCGCAATTATAACGACTAGAAAGTTTTTTTTTATTAGTGATGTTTTTGTTTTTATTTTATTAAAAAACATTTTTAAAACATGCGTAAATGTTGCTACATCGACTATCTTATAGCCTGACTCGCAACGGAGTGCTGCTACATCGACTGACAAATAGCCTGACTTGCAACGGAGTGCTGCTACATCGACTGACAAATAGCCTGACTCGCAACAGAGTGATGCTACATCGACTGACAAATAGCCTGACTCGCAAGGGAGTGCTGCTACAACGACTGACAAATAGCCTGACTCGCAAGGGAGTGCTGCTACATCGACTGAGGATTTGGTTTGGGCAGGCAGTCTATCATTTGAAAAAAAAAAAAATTTAAGTTTTTAAACTTTTTCTGGTCTGGTTTATTAACGCGCTCTTTAAAACTACAGTTTATGGGAAACTCTTTTCAACTACCATGCAAGAGTATATATATATATATATATATATATATATATATATATATATATATATATATATATATATATATATATATATATATATATATATATATATATACATATATATATATATATATATATATATATGTATATATATATATATATATATATATATATACATATATATATATATATATATATATATATATATATATATATATATATATATATATATATATATATATATATATATATATATATATATATATATATATATGAGAGTATCTTAAAAAGCACTTCAAACAGTGTTATAGAAATTTTATTTTGATATTTTTAGAAAGCAGAAGCATATTTACCTCGATGTAAAGAACTGAATCCAATGGTAGATATTGTAATAGATAAAGATTCAGTTACATGCAAGACTGATTCTTTTTTTTCCAAATATGATTTAGTTTGTATGACCTCTGGATCAGGACAAGACCAGGTTAGATTTTAAAATAAAATTTAATATATATATATATCCTTATAGTGTAGTCGAAAGAGACTTTTATGGTAAAAAAAGTCTCTTTCGACTACAATTTTTTTACCGTCTCTTAAGCTGCATTTTATTGTCGTTGAAATGTCAAAGCAATTAAATTAACGCAGAAGTACATTTAATTTTATTGTTTTTTAAAAAACCCGCAATAATAATGGCAAGAAAATTTTTTTTAATTAGTGCTGTTTTTGTTTTTGTTTGATTAAAAAACATTTTTAAAACATGCGTAAGTGTTGCTACATCAACTATCTTATAGCCTGCTGCTACAAGGGAGTGTTGCTACACAACTATCTTATAGCCTGACTCGCAACGGAGTGCTGCTACATCGACTGGCAAATAGCCTGACTCGCAAGGGAGTGCTACTACATCAACTGAGGGTTTGGTTTGGGCAGACAGTCTATCATTAAAAAAAAAAAAAATTTTTTTTTGAAGTTTTTTAACAATTTCTGGTCAGGCTTATTAACGCGCTCTTTAAAACAACAGTTTATGGGAAAAACTTTGTGACTACCATGCAAGACTATATATATATATATATATATATATATATATATATATATATATATATATATATATATATATATATATATATTTATATATATTTATACATAGATATATATATATATATATATATATATATATATATATATATATATATATATATATATATATATATATTTATATATATATGTATATATGTATAAATATATATATATATATATATATATATATATATATATATATATATATATACATATATATTATATATATATATATAGTATAAGAGTTTTTAAAAAGTTATTTAAGTTATTATTTTTATGCTTTCAGTTAAAAAAATTAAAAAAAAAAAGTATAAAATTTAATCTATGCAAACTATTCTGAAAACAAATTTTTTAATACACAATATTTTTAGAGTTATGTTTTCAACTTAGTATATAAAATACAACTTAATTGAAGCGAAAGTAATAACATATTTAATAACTAAAATAATTTTTTTTTTATTTGTTCAATTACATAACAAAAAAACTATTTTTTTTTGTATTTATAATACAAAACATAATGTAATTTACAAAATTATTACTAGAATGTAATTAATTATCATTAACATTTTATTTTCTGCATGACCTTTTATGTATATATATATATCGAATACTTGATATCTCGAACTTTTTAAGCAGTCCCACGGACATAACGTACTAGTTTAGGCTAAAATCCTCTCGATATCTCAAACTTTAATATCTAGAACTTTTTGGTATCTCGAACAATATTTTCAGTCCTCAGGGCAATTTTCTCTCGTTATCTCGAACTTTTCAACATTTTTTTTTTCAAAAATGTTTTAATAAAATTTAATTTTTTTAAATTCCAATTTTCGAAAAAAAAAAATTTTAATTCGATTTTTTAATTCGATTTTTTTTAAGAATCGAATTTCTCAAAAGTTTTCCTTTAATATATTAATTTATTCTTTTTGTCAAACGCAACAACATGCCGCTCGTTAAATGAAAACTCACAAACAAATCTATAATAGAAAAATGCAAGGCATTAAAAGAGAGGGATGTCTTTTTGTTAGACATCCCTAGAGACAGGGATGTCTAACAAAGAGGTTGCCAAAAAGTAGGGAGTCCCAAAGAACACATTATCAATCTGGATTAAACATAAAACCAAGTTATTAACCTCACTGGAAAAAAATGGCACAAAATCTAAACGGAAGAAACTTCTAAAAAGAAAAAAATCTAAAAAGAAGTCAACAAGTACCAATTGATGGTACCATACTAAAAGAAAAGGCACTAAAATTTGCAGAAGCATTAGGAGAGTTGGATTTTAAAGCATCTGATTGTTAGTTTCATAATTGGAAAGAAAGGTCAGTTAAATTTTGTCAAATCTTGTTCAATTTTAATATAAACAAATAACATGTATCTGTTTATATTTAATTTATTTAGTTTTTTAAACATGTAATTAAAATTCAATTATTCTGTTCCTATTTTTAGGAACGGCATCAGCTTAAAAATAATCTCAGGTGAAAGTGCCGCCGTGACGAATAATATGACTGCTTCGTGGAATGAAACTACACTTCCAACATTGCTTTTGAATTACAAACTTGAAAACATTTTCAATGCCGATGAGTTTTGACTATTTTTAATAGTGCCTACCAAACAAAACATACCATTTATCACGAGAAAAATGTTTCGGGGGAAAAAATATAAAGTCAGACTAACAAGCATAGCAGCAGGGAGTGCAACAGGAGAAAAATTACCTATGTTTGTTATTGAAAAATCTAAAAACCCATGGTGTTTTAAGTACATTAAACAGCTTCCTTGCACATATAAAAATCAGCTAAAAAGTTGGATGACTAGAGACCTTTTTACAGAATGGGTAATGAAACTTGACTCATTTTTTTTGTGCTCAAGACAGAAAAGTAGCACTCCTGGTGGATAACTGTTCTGCCCACCACACATTGAAAGGCTAAGCAACATCAACCTAATAATTTTCCCCCCTAACACCACATCAGTCCTTCAGCCCATGGATCAAGGCGTAATATGAAGTCTTGAAGCTCATTATTGTCACAAAATTGTGCGTTTGTGTATCAAGGCTGTCGATAATAACAAACCCATGCCAAAAATTTCTATACTTCAAGCAATGAAAGATCTTGTTTCTTCCTGGAATGCTGTGTCGAAGGAGACTGTCATCAACTGCTTTAAAAAAGCTGGTATCAGCAAAACAAACAAGAGTATTGAAGAAGCTGATGATGATCATCCTTTTAAATTTTTGACAGAAGAACTTAACGGTTTGTGAGAGTTAGATCCTTGTGCCATCCAAGAAGATCTCTCAGCGGAATCTTACATTGGTTTAGATTGCGATGTAGTAACCACCGGTTCACTACCTGATGTTGAAGTTGATGTTGAACTGATGTTGAAGTCTTTGCTCAGATTTAAAACCCTAATTTTAGAAAACGACGATAATGAAGTTGAAGATAGCGTTGACGAAGCTATTGACGTCGAAGCCCCGCCATGCCCATCTGATATTCAATTAGAAATTGCTTTTGAAACAATTCAAAATGCTTTGCTATGAAGCTCAAAATACGGAAATGAAATACAATCCCAAGCACTAAAACTTGAGGATTTAATGAAGGTGGAAAAGATGGATAATTTAAAGCAATATCAGATAACAGATTTTTTCCAAAAGTTGTAGTTTTTGTTGTTAATGATTTATATATATATATATATATATATATATATATATATATATATATATATATATATATATATATATATATATATATATATATATATATATATATATATATATATATATATATATATATGTATATATATATGTATATATATATATGTATATATGTATATATATATGTATATGTATATATGTATATATATATATGTATATATATATATGTATATATATATACATGTATACACATATGTATATACAAGAAAGATTTATATTTGCAAAATTACATTTAATTAAAATACATGAAAAACCGGGTAAAAACAATTATCAATTAAAATTCATTAACTTTTTTATTGATTAAAATACATTAACTATTTTATATAAAAATGAATAAAGTAACAAAAACTATAAAACACAAAAAACCACAGTCACAGTCTTGTTCAGTTCTCAATAGTCACATGCTTGGCCTAGACAATTACATTCGTAAGAATTCACCTATTTGTCAGGAAACTAGGTTTGAATCCACAGACTACTCTTTTATGTGTTTTCATTTCGCACCACTTCACTCTTTCACCTTTCTCTTTGTTCTATATCGCTCTCTTCATCTCAAGACTGCACTCTTCTTGATGTTATTTCTGATTATATTGACAATTACATTCGTAAGAACTCACCTATTTGTCAGGAAACTAGGTTTGAATCCACAGACTACTCTTTTATGTGTTTTTGTCTAGCACCACTTCACTCTTTCACCTTTCTCTTTGTTCTATATCGCTCTCTTCATCTCAAGACTGCACTCTTCTTGATGTTATTTCTGATCATATTGACCAAGCCCTCATTCTTTATCCATCAGTCGATATTGTTGTTGTCGGTGACTTTAATGTTCATCACACAGAATGGCTTGGCTCTAGTGTCAGTGACTCTGCAGGCATTAAGGCCCACAACTTTTGCCTTTCTCGATCCCTTACTCAAATAGTCAACTTTCCAACTCACTTTCCAGACAACCCGAATCATTTACCTTCTCTACTCGACTTATGTCTTGTTTCTAATCCTAGTCAGTGCTCAGTTTCTCCACACTCACCCTAAGGTGCTTCTGATCATGGTTTGGTCTCTCTAAAACTATTATCTAATTCTTCTTTACCATCAGAATCCTCCTATCATTGTACATCTTACAACTACCTTAAAGCTGACTGGGACTCTTTCTGTGATTTTCTTCGTGATGGCCCCTGGGTAGAAATCTTTTGTCTTCCTGTTAACAAATGTGCTTCTTACATAACTTCATGGATTCAGGCTGGCATGGAATCCTTTATTCCTTCTCGACTATTCCAGGTCAAGCCTCACTCTTCTCCATGGTTTTCCTCACATTGTGCTGCTGCAATTGCCAATCGAAACCATTACTTCCATATCTATCAGCAAAACAATTCTCCAGAAAACAGACGTCTCTTTATTACTGCTAGGAACCATTGTAAAAAGGTTTTGTCTAATGCCAAAGCCCGCTACTCTCAGATCATGAAATCTCGTATTTCATCACAAAAATTAGGCTCTTGTGACTTCTGGAGAATTTATAATAGTATCAATAATAAGGGCAAGTCTGTAATTCCACCTCTTTTGTATGGTTCAGACTTTGTCACTTCACCTAAAGACAAAGCTGAATTGTTTGCCAAGAACTTTTTATCAATATTATCTACCTGATATAGCCGTCAAACAGGTTGATCCACTGCTCGACATCTGTATCACTCCAGCTTCAGTATCTAAAGTGATTTCCTGCTTAG